GGATGAAAAAGATGAGTATGGTTTCATCCTTGAAGTGGATTTGGAATATCCAGAAACACTACATGACTACCATTCGGACTATCCACTAGCACCGGAAATAATGAATGTCAATGCTAATATGTTGTCAGACTATCAAAAGGAAATCTACAAAATCTACTATGGAAACAAAGAACCGAAGGACGAGAAAACCAGCAAGTTAATATTAAATTTGAAAGATAAAGAAAAATATGTTGTTCATATCAAGACTTTACAGTATTATCTAAAAATGGGTATGAAACTCACCAAGGTTCATAGGATAATAAAATTTCAACAGAGGGCTTGGTTGAAACCGTGGATTGACTTCAACACTGGTAAGAGGAAAGAAGCGAAGAGCGACTTTGAGAAGGATTTGTTTAAATTAATGAATAACGCGGTGTATGGAAAAACTATGGAAGACAAGAGAAAGCATATGGATTTCGAATTGGTAGATAATGATGTTAGATATGAAAAGTGTGTGAATAATCCTACATTCAAAAAAAATATCATTAATTAAAATATGGTAGGAGTGGAAAAAACAAAGTCGGTTTTGAAACTTGATAAACCCATATTCTTAGGAATGACAATGTTGGATTTGAGTAAATTACATATGTATGAGTTTTACTATGGTGTGTTGAAAAAGAAATACAACGAAAACATCAAATTGATATATACAGATACTGACAGCTATGTAATCCAAACCTTCACTGATGATGTCTACAAGGATTTTCAAGGTATCAAGCAACATATGGATTTTAGCGATTATCCTGTTGAACATCCGTGCCATGACACAACAAATAAGAAGGTCTTAGGAATGTACAAAGATGAAGTCAACGGAAAAATCATTACTAGATTTATCGGGTTGAAACCTAAATCCTATGCTTTCACAATCCACGGCGAGAATGAGGAACACAGGAAATCCAAAGGCGTCGTCAAGCACAAGGTGAAGAAGGAACTGACCTATCAGAACTACCACGAAGCACTGCATCACAACAAAAAACACGAAATAACATATAATTTTATTAGGAGTAAATCTCATCAAATATATTCAATGTCTCAAGTAAAACAATCACTCAGTAATTATGAGAATTTAATATATTATTATGATACTTTTACTTCATTACTATATGGTCATCACAAACTGTGTTAAAGAGAAGATACATTATGTTATTTATGGAGAGCAGTAAATATAGAAATGCGGCGAAGATTTACCAAGTAACAGATATTGGTTATAACAAATGCTACATTGGAAGCACCTGTGAAAACTTAAGTCAAAGAATTGCAAGACATAGGCAAAATCATAAGAAAGCAGAGGAATGGAACACTAAAACAACTTGTGGCTTATTGTTTGATGAGTATGGAGTGGAAAACTGTAAGACTGAATTAATAGAAAACTACCCCGTGTGAAAGTCGAGAAGAATTACTTAAAAGAGAAGGTTATTACATTAAAAATACTGACTGGTTTAATAGATGTGTTGCTGGAAGAACTTTTAATGAGTGGAAAGAGGATAATAAAGAACATTACCAACATATGAGGAAGGAATACTCTGAAAAGAACAAAGAACATATATGTGACAAAAGTAGGGAGCATTACCACCAAAACAAAGAAACAATACTAGAAAAAAGAAAATAAATTATTGAATGTGGCGGTGTTTTCAGGAAATGTGATATAAGAAGGCACGAGCGAAGCGACAAACACCGGCGATATGTAAATAAACATATTCATATCTAAATAGTTCTAATAATATGAAATTATTAGAATTATTTTCAGGGACAGGTTCGGTTGGTATGGTTGTTTTGGTTGGGTGGGTTGTTTGGGTTGGGGTTGGGGCTCAAACTTGAAATGTGGGTTTGGGGATGAGATTGAAACTGAAAACATTGAAGTTTATATGTTGGTTGGTTTTGAGGGAGTTGAAAAATGGTGGGTTTTGCCCTTGTTTTGATGGGAATGTGTTTGTTGAGATTTACGGGGTTGGTGAGAAGGGAGCCTTCAAAATGGGTTTGGGCTTAAACATTGAAACAAAAAAATGGTGAGAGTTTAACCTTACACAACGGTTTAGGTTTGTAAGAGAAACCACCTGACCCACCCGACCCAAAAGACCTTGAAGAAGAGGAGGGTGGTGTCTTCTGACATACAAGGCGCACGCAGTGGGGTTCAGGGTTGGGGTTTTGTGAGTTGCTGTGGTTTTTGGGCGTGGGTTGGGTTGGGGTCGTTGGGTTGCTAGGGTTGTTGTGAGGGGCGAGGGAATTTGCATTGCAAGTTCTTAAGGGGTGGATTGGTAATGACACTCCCACAAAGTTTAGTTTAAGCAGTGGCTCACACTACTCCTGAAATCTTTGTTTTCAACCCCTGACCCACAACCCTAAAAACTCAACCCTTCTCCACTTGAGCCTTCAAAGTGTCTTGTTTGAACCCTCCCTGTAACAGTAACACACAAAAGCCCCAAAACCACAAAACCCTCCCAGCCCACCCACAGCCCAAAACCTAGAACCCGTCAGCGTTGAAGACGATGAAGGGCATGACTTCACAACCTCAGCGAAAAGCAGATGCGGGAACTACTAAAAATGGGGTGGGTTTGGAAGGTTCTGTTCCCCTGTCCCCTGCCTTGGGGTTCGCTGTTCCCCTACTTTGGGGTTCGCTGTTCCCCTACTTTGGGGTTCGATGTTCCCCTACTTTGGGGTTCGCTGTTCCCCTACTTTGGGGCTCCCTGTTCCCCTACTTTGGGGCTCCCTGTTCCCCTACTTTGGGGTTCGCTGTTCTCCTACTTTGGGGCTCCCTGTTCCCCTACTTTGGGGTTCCCTGTTCCCCTACTTTGGGGCTCCCTGTTCCCCTACTTTGGGGCTCCCTGTTCCCCTGCCTTGGGGAACAATGTTCCCCTGTTCCCCTGCCTTGGGGAACAATGTTCCCCTGTTCCCCTGCCTTGGGGAACATGTTCCCCTGTTCCCCTGCCTTGAGGAACGGGGGGTCATGCCGTGGGAAATGGTGCTCTGATGTTCCCCTGATTGTAGACACCCCATTCCAAATTTGGGGAACAATTTGGCGATCGTAATCCATTGCAAACTCGTCCGCCGATCTGCTGTTTGCTCCCTTGACACTTGAGTCCTACGCGGATATGACTGATACTCAGTTTGGGTCTTGGTCCTTGTTGGGGCAGTCAGAGGAGTATCAGGACGCAAAGATGGCCACATGTTTTCTCGCTACGCATTTGTTTATCCACATCTCAGCTCCTTATGAAGACTGCACCGGCGTCATAGCAAAGAGTTGCGCCCACTGCGGGCGTCAACCTCTCCAAAACCAGATTGCGCCATTTCTGCACTAGGGTCTCACAATTCGCCACTACTCAATGGGGAACTCCAACGCTGGATTTGCAGCAGGATGTTGTAGATGATGAGGAGGAAAATGGCAAAGTCACGGAGGCGAAACCCTCGTTGAACTTCTTGTTGAACTTCTTGTCTAACCTGCTGAACTTGTTGTTGAACCTGACGAATGTTCAAGGTGTGAGGAACGTAGACTAAGCTAAAGAAACCCTGCGCATACTTCCTCTTGAGAAATGGATAATGCTGAATCGCATTGACCCACTCTTCTGCGCACTCAATGGGCAGCTTATTCACCACCATTGCTACGGCAGGTACGGAGCGCCCAGCCTCAGCCGCCAGCGTTAGAAACCGTTCCAGCTGGTGACACTTCATGAAGAACAAGGCTGCAACCACCGTACATTCCACAACTGTGCCTTCTGGAACAACCCGATTGCCGAATAGCAATTGCGAATTCTCACCCAGTGACTGTAAAAGGTCTCGCTCTGCATTCACTACGACGTCCGTGACAGCAGTTGCCTCTGCTGGTGTGTCGTTGGCTGTTGTGCTCGAATACAGCTTTGTCCACAATTTGCCCAAGCTTTCTGCTGATGCCCTCTCAGATTGGAGCTTCAACTTGTTGAGCGCCTCACATGCATCTTGACTGAGGTGGGCTGTGATGGTCGCTTCGGATTGCTGAAGCTGGCTTCCCGAAAGCCTCTCCCGCACAAACTTCTCATAGTCATTTGCGGAAATCCGTCCTGGAATGCTGCTGGCGTCTGACCATTTGCCACCACCGCGCGGGCGCACTTTCGGCCACGGTAGCATGGCAAGACTTGAGACAAAGGTTGTGACTGTAAGTGGGATGCTTGGCAATGTCCAACAGCTAAGAGCATCTGCGCATCGAGTTCTGGAAAGCTCTTGGTAAAGAAGTGGTGAAACTAATGCAGCCAAAGACATGATTCATGACTTGATCCATGAAGCTTCACATGGTTTGGCGGAACGTCCGAGCCAAGGGTCAAACTCTGAATCTGAAGGGGCATAGCCGGTGCGAGAACTGATGTGATTGACCAAGCCTACAATGGTGCCCTGAGAATGAAGCCACCGCAACGGAAGCAACACATGCAGCGCAAAAATGAACAAAGAACAAGCCAAATGAGCCAAGCAATGCCTGAATTGTGCTGAAGCTTGTTGCAAAATCGTTTGGCCTCAAGACCCAGACCTTTAAACAACTTAAAGTCTAACCTCTTTCAATCAATAAAACTAAAAGTTGAAATCGGGAACGAAACAGGGGACCAAATCATCAATTCGTTACCGCATTCATATCGTTATTTCTTGCCCCCAAAATATGCCTTGAAAAAACGAATAAGATAGAACACGTGTTGAATTGTGAAATAAAAAAACAGAACAGGCAACCATCTACCCCCCACCCCCTGAAATCAGCCTTTTCTACATGTTTTTTTTTTGGGGGGGGGGGCGAGCATATATATATATATATGTTTATGTATATATATATATATGTATAGCACTAAAGCACAGCAAACAAGCAGATGTGAGCAGGGTTCGTGGTGGCACATGTGTTCTGCTTTTGTGTTCTGTTTTGTTCTTGCTGCTTTGTTGTTCTGTTCCAAGTCGCCAATCGGACAATGTCCACGGATCTGGATGGAACTGCCGCAATCTGAGCTGGCGGCTGCTCGCTGACCGGGGCTGCGAAGCTTGTAACCAGGATCCCCTAAGCAGCGACAACCATGCGGACCCAAAACCCCTGCTTTTTCAGCTCCAGTGTGAATCGCCACTCGTGGAAAACTAAGGGACCTACATTTGACTGGTGGCGAGTCCCCCGGCCGAGGAATGCAGCCGTTCACGTCTCTTCAATTCCTCAAAAGTACCCGCAAGCCGCGGCGCCGAGATGAGCGCAAGAACCAGCCGCAAGATGACCAGCAACTCGGCCTAGCGCAAAGCCACAATAACGGGGGGGGGGGGGGGAGTGGGTGGTTGTAGCCCACAACCTGACCCTTTGTAGGAGCACCAAAGAGTCCCAACCTGGGGAACAGCCTGCACGGGCAAGAGAATGACGAGGTGTGAATGCGAGCCTGCTCACCCCAACCATTCGTCAGCATGGCTCCGAAACAGGCCTCAAGACGCAGGCCATGCTTGAGCACAGCTGTGAGATCAAAACTGGCATCTGTGGGCTGCGCATATTCCAGCGAGAACCTCCACGAGGCCAACGTGTGACCTGCATGCGGCAACCATCACAGTTCAAAGATCAGCGCTGCCCTTCGAGAACCCCTCTCCGGCCGCAAGAAAAGTGGTCAGTGCGCGTCTAGGCGGGGAAGAAAAAAAAGGCGCAAACGTTGCACCCCTCGGAAAAAGACTCTGCATAACAAGCCTTCATGAACCTCATGGCTTGGACTCCAAAAGGATCCACCAAACTTGCCAAACAGTGGCTCCAGGTCTTCAATCGGATCTGAGAGCCGCGCCAAGCATGAAGTGCTGCGGGCTCACTCCCAACAGGCCCAGCACCTCAAAGATCTCCACCCAAAGTGATGCCAGGGAGTCCCAAAGCGATGCCGCAGGAAGACCCCACTAACCGCTGGATCATTACCACTGTGGATGGACGAAATCCATTTCGCACCCCCTGGAATGATGATTGATTCCCCTGTTAAATACCAACAAACCATGGTGCCCATGGTTTCAAAGCGGCGCAGGAGTTCGTCCATCCACAGTACGGGGGTGTCCCGCTATAATTAGAGGAGGATCTTCAGCTAAGAAAACACCTGAAAAGATAACCTTTATTTTTCCGGGATTGATCCTAAAATCGGCTGTGGTCAAACCATTCCCCGCACCGCACATGCTGGGTGCCTGCAAGCAGCTATCATCTCTCTCTCCCTTTCTCTCCCTCTCTCTCTTTCTCTCTCTGAGCAAACTCAACATTGTTGCAGAAAATCCGCCTTTCAGCAACACCCTTCGGTTGAATTCTTGATCCTCAGGGCTTCATCGCTTTCGAGGAATCGCATTCCCTCCGTACGGCAAGTGGCCATGTACTACCGAGGCGCCATGCAAAAGGCGCCATCCATGGGGCCGGAAAAGAGCAAGAGGCGGAGCAGTGCCAAGCGAGTGCCCTCCTGCAAGATGAGCGTCGATTTTGGAGTTGGCTCATGCCACAATTTATTGGGAACCCAAATTGAGGAGATAGGTCGGAGAACTCCACTAAGTGACCCTGATGTCGAAATCAATCCCTGCCTTCTTGCTCTTGTTGTCAAGATGCAGCTAGATTGAGGGGTCGCATGAAGAAATCGCCCCGATTTCATGCACCCTCCAATGTATCTGGCACATCCATCTCAATTCCGCAGTACCCTGTCCTTCTCTGCAGTGGCTTGTGCCTTGGTGCCGGCATAAAACTGTGAGGCTGTTACACCTTTCTCCGCATAATTTTGTTCCACATAGTGGCTACATGTTGGCTGCGTATCCCATTCAACCCCAGGGTCGCGGTAGCTTTAGTTGGGTGGTAGGGGAAACCATCTTAGACTTGGGACAAGCCACTGCGCTGAAAAGACTACGAAGATCAGAGCCTTGATCATCTTGACCTCGGTTCGTTGCACCAATCGGTTTCCCGCTTTGGCAGCGCCGCTCAGAATGCATCAAAGGCTCGGCGAAAGGGTTTCGGCCAAAACTGCCAAACCTCAAAAGCAGTCCACATTGAAGCAGCGAGCCCTAGGAACACTTCTGCCTGCTCAATCGTGTGTCATTGTATGCAAAACCTGGGGCCAAGCAGAATGCCCTCCTTTCAAGGGTTGCCGAGAGCTGGCAAGCACAGCCAACAGAAAATAACCATGAAATCACTGTTTGGTCTGACACGCGTGCACCTCGCAAAAAGTGGAAATGCCAGAAAAGTGGAAGAAATCTCCGAGATTCTGTCCTCAACGCACACAAAGGCTGAATTGAGTGAGACCAGGGCCCATGAATGGATTGCCCACCGCTGAGGCAAGAGTCCCTTTGAGGACGGTGGCTAGATTGACACGTGAGGCGTTGCAGGAAACCATCTGTTCAGTGGCGCAAACTTCTAGCCAGTACCCTCCCATTTCTGTTGAGGAATCTTTGTCTTTGGAAAATGCACAAACGTACTGGAAAGTAATGTGGTTCCTGAAGAGAACGATGGCCAAGAAAAAGGTGAAATCCTGCAAAGCGTCCAGACCGGCCAACAGAAACCACGACAAACCCTGCATGGCGTCACAGCAAAGGAGACATTATGAACTTCCTAGCTCCCACGGCACCTACTTGGACTTCAAGCACTGTCAAAGCCAAAGCTCGAGTTAGGTGTACTCAAGTTCACCAAATTTGAGCCCTGCTGCCGAGTCACAACCTCCCGAAAAGGAAAAATGGCATTGCTGCCGTCGTGTCAGCCAGGGCAGCGAACACAGAACCCGCAAAAACCTCAGCGAATCTGCCGCACAGCTGTTTAGACACTCACGTCTTTGACGTCCCATGGTGCACCAAGTTATCTTGCAAGAGACCGGGCTTGCATGATTAGCCTAGGTTGGCTCCAAAAATGTGTTACTCCTGCAAACAATTTGCAATCGCTCCCAAAGCCAAGCTATTACACACGCAAACCATTCCAATCAACAAGAGTTTCTTGTATGAAATGTGTACCGCAAGCTTCTTTGACGCCGCTTGAGGTTTTGTAGCAATGCGCCCCATAGGCTGATTCAACCGTGTCGTAGTCGCAAACATGTCACTAACATTGCAAGCATGCTCGGCTCAGCCGCGGTTGGTAGCCAGGTCACGTTTCCAAACATCGCTGGCGCATTCTCTTGCAGAGCTGAAGCTGGAGGCTCCGAATCAAGGAAGGGCACTTTGTCCAAGAAAAAGCTCAGCAAATACCTTGCGGCTTGCCGGGAACGTCGCTCCACGTCAAGGACCAAAAGAAAACAAAAGACAGTACCAAGCATGGAAAGGACCTTGCAGCTTGTAGTGTCAGGTGATGTGGTTGCTTTTTGTGTTTAACCGTTTGACCTTTTGGTTTTAACCAGTTTTCGCTCAACTTAGAGGAAGCCCCAAGCCAACAAAAGAATGTCCAGTTCTTGCCACAGCGCGATGCCTTGCTGGTGTCTATTGTCCTTGGCTGACACACATGCACATACATGCCCATACACCACCCAGCGCTGCCAACCCTCCCGCCAACAATCATAGAAGTTAAGGATCGGGTTTTGGAAGGTAAGAATTTTAGTTTGCTTTGGGGAAGCCGCGAAATATCCACTTCCAAAATCGCTGGAAAATTGGCAATCTCTTAGACAAGGCGCTGGAAGCTGAAATCAGTCGATTGCCACCAGTCCTGCACAAGGCTCTTGAAGGGGGAGGCCAACTCTTAGATCTCAGGTGGACCACTCTATGGTCTCCTGACAATCAGGGATCTGCTTGGAGCGCATTAAAGGGAAACCAGAAGGAGGCTGTTCAAACAATATGCATGAACAAATCCTGCACCAGTTGGGATGTATGAGACCCTAGGAAGACTGGATAACCCACCTACCAACTGGCGCGCAGTAGAATTTGTTCATCCAACTGTAGTGATTTGAACACGCGTCACAGATGTCCCATATTTCCGTTAAAACATCCTCGAATGGGCTAAGCCTAGGTGGATCTTCAACTCACAAAGTAAGTCATCTTGGAACTATGGTCATAAACCCTGTTAGCTCCTCAAGGAGGCAGACCACTTTGCAAGTGTTTTTTGGGTATCCCTGGTCATAGCCCACTTGGAGCACCTACCAGGGTAAATTTGCAAAAGATATAAGCTCAGATTTGCACACTGGGAGACCAGAGGAAGGAGGTTTGCCTCATATCAAGATGCAGCTAGATTGAGGGGTCACATACAATATTTTCAAACTCTTTAGGAATTGCTTTTAATACTTCATCTGCGATATATCCTATATGAGTTTTACCACCATCATTTCTATCGTGTCTTTTAAACTTCTTCGGTTTAAATTTCTTAATGACATTCATACAATTAGATTTGATATTGACTATGTCATATTTCAATCGTGAGTCACTTGAATCAACAAATGTTCCATTAATCGTCACGGTTGTTGCTGTTAAATCTATATTAGTTCCTGTTGATGGTTCTAGTGTATTACATAGCAATTTCGTTCCTAAAACTGATACATTTTCATTAAAAGTTGATGGAGCATTATTTGTAAAACTTCCAGTATTCACTGTCGTTCCAAATGTCTTATCAATAGATAATAAAACAGAAGGTGTAGTTGAACTATCTGCTACTCTAAACGCAGTGTTTGATGTTCTGAATATTACATCAATTGTAGATAAACTAGTTCCATCGTAATAAGTTGATATTTCAATCGTTCCCATCTTTATGTCTGTTCCAGTAGTCATTGAAATATTATTCAAAAATGAAACCGTTGTTAAATCAAATGATTGAATGGTATTAGTTGCTAAATATGCATTTTAAACTGCTAAATTAGTATCAACGGTTACTAATGTTCCACCATTAGGCGCTATATGATTGCTTCTTAATGCTCCATTAGTTTTAACATAAACATCATCAGCAAATAAATTACCCATAAAATCAGCAGTAGCAGTATTAAAAGTCCATCCGCTAGAAATATTAACTGCTCCAACTATATTAGATTGAACAGCAAGATCTCCACAAATGAACCTAATTGAAGAATTAGCGTCAGTATTTCTCATATCAAAAGATGAAAAAGCACTAACATATCTGTATAATTCACAATTTGTATCAATTGTTAATTTACCATCAGTATCAATATTAACATTATCACAATTAACAGCAGCATTTGTATAAATATTACCTAACACATCAACAGGTTTATTAAAAATAGATTTATTCACTAATCCATCACACATCATATATTGATTAGACGCATTACTAACATCGCCAACACTAATAGCAACGAAATCATGATGAGACATATATAAACCTTCTATGGCATCTGGTGTATATCTTTGTATTGAACCATTATTATTAAAATTCAAATATGAACCATTGTTAAGATTTACTGCCTTGTCAGTTCCTATAAAATCAACTGAATCAATAAATCTCGATTTTCCAGCACAATTTAAAACATAACCATTAACACCAACAGCACCTAAACCGAACCTATCCTTAACCCATACATGACCAACATTAGCGTCTCCGATTTGAGTTTCCCATTGATTACCATTGCTTGACATCCACATTCTGCCATCTCTATTAATATTAAATTCACGATTGAACATTTGAAAAGTCATTTGCAATCCAACATTAGGCGACGATGTAGTGCTAAACTTATTACATATTATACTTCCAGTAGTCAACATACTTAAATTACTATGTAAAGTTGTATTATCACTAAAATTAATAGCACCTGCTAATGCTTGAGCGTTAGTATCTATTTTATCCAACTTTTGTCCTAATGATGTATCCTGTGAATTATTGATAGTAATTATTGAATTAATTGTATGTATTTCCTGCTATTATTCCACTTAATCCATCTGATTGTAAAACATATCTAGCATCAGAACCTGCAACATCTAACATAGATGAACACGAAAATAAACCAGATACTTGTAAATTACTTAATATTGTGGTATTATGATTTAATATTATCTTATCATTTTGAAAAGTTGAAGAATTGTTAATTTCTACATCACCAAAACCACGTTGATTCAAAAACATCGTTGAACCTGCTAAACTTCCATAAACATAACTATCAAAATAATTATTATACATGTCAAAGAAACTATTATAATTTCCAAAATTTGCTTTTTTGAAAATTGAAGTAGTTGTTATATTATGAATTAATGTATTATTTAATACTGATGTATCTAACTTATTTGATAATAAATTATTAGTTGTTATTTTATTATAGTAATCTGATTCATTAAATGAAACTCCATTCTGTAAATCTGTTATTGCTATAATATGTGAATTTATTGTGCTATTTAATCCTGTTATTACATTAGAATTAGAACTACTATTATTAAAATTAGTTGTTATAGTATAATTTAAATTATTTATTAAATTTGTATTTGATGAAATATTATTGAAATGTGTATTAATTAAGTTAGAATTAGAACTAATGTTATTAAAATTAGTTGTTATAGTAGAATTAAAATTATTCATTAAATTTGTATTTGATGAAATATTATTGAAATTTGTATTAATTAAGTTAGAATTAGAACTAATGTTACTAAAATTAGTTGTCATAGTAGAATTTAAATTATTTATTAAATTTGTATTTGATGAAATATTATCAAAATTTGTATTTGAAGTTATTGTCAGATTACCTATTAAAAATGTATTTGAACTAATATTATTTGATAATACATTAATTTCTGTTTTGTCATATGTTTCAGTTATATCATAAAAATTAGCATTTATCTGCTCCTTTGTGTAAGTATCTACTTGGTCTGCTTTGTTGTTGAGTAAATCAATTATATCTGATTGATTAGCGTATATGTTTCTAATGTTTGTCACCCGGCTTGTAGAATTGATTTCACTAATTGTGTGCGCTACAACATTTTCAAAGTTTGTTAAATTTATTGAAGGCATTGTATATTAATAGTAGAACATGATAATATTTATTTTTAATATTATCATTTTTGCTTATTTTTAATCCAAAATCTGAACTCCGGCGTCTCTAATGGAAAGTATTTGTTCTGATACTAATGTTATGTAAATCGTGTCTGGCATCCATATTTCCACTAGGTTTGCAACGAATTAGAAGCTGCTGCCCGGCTTTTGTGTTAATTCCAGTATAACTGCTGTCTGGAACCTTCTCCATATTCATAGCAAAGATGAACTTGTCGGTTTTATACTGGTTAAATTCAATAGATAAATGATGTTGATGAAATAAAGGTAAATTCAATGCCTTGCGCAAATAATAGAACGCTTGTGTTCTGCTTTTACAAGGATACTCAGGAAATAATTTTGAACCTAATTGAAGTTGAAATTCTAAGTCATTGTCAGGGTTATAGTTTCCGTGAGTAGAAAAGGTTGTTCTTGTCGAGGGATGGTAAAACCTGTTGTATTCCTTATGAACTTCAGTTGCTCCTCCCGTGGCGTCTGCTTTACAGAAGGTGATAAATGTGGCAGTGAGTTTAGATACAGAACGAACAACAGCAGTGTTAATTGTTGCTTGCCCAACAACAGAATTAGACTGACATATATAAGTATTATACGTGATAGGTAATTCTTTTCCATCAAGTAGATGAGAAACATATTTATTGTGTAAATCATTATCCAAACTTACTACATCGCATTGAAGGAAGCAGTTATTAAGTTCGAATTCACCGCTCGTGCTTTGATGTGTGTTAGGTGCACTCTCACTGGCGGGGAAATCACCAGAAACATCAGGTGGAACAATACAATCGGTGAAATTACTGACAAGTTCAAGTTCTAAAACAAGAGGACACGCGTTTAATGGAATATACTTAAACTGGTTAAATAAACCAAGCATAGCTTTAAATCCAACAACCATTTCAGATGTGAAGCCCGGGATTGTTTCGGCATTATAAGTTTTTCCAATAGTCCCAGATGTAGGGTCAGCAAAACGTTGTGTTAAATCGTCATCGTATCTATATCCAAAACTTTGCGCGTCTTCATTGTCCCTTGCTCCCTTTGACATCAAACAACTCATCATGTGATGGTTTCTATTGTAATAGTCAATGTCTTCAACAAGTTGATTACCAGCAATTAATCTTGCCCTTCTCAAAAAGCAGTAAGCAGGAGACAGAGGTCGTAAGCGTTTGTTGTTTGTAGTTTCCTTGTTTGAAACGTTGAAAAACACCATTACA